CCTGTTCTGGGTTTCAGGGCCCCCCGCTGGATTCCGGCTTTCCCTACTCCCCTCAGTCCCGCCCCTGACCTTAGGCCCCGCCCCCAGCCGGCCCCGCCTCGGATCCGACTCCCCGCAGCTTCCGGGCCGTGTGCTGATGTCGGACCCTGCCTGTCCTCGCTTCCCGCTTCTCCGCCCTCTGAGCTCCGCCGCCCGGACTCAGGATGGCGGGTCAGGCCACCCACCCTTCGCCCTCCGCCTGGCTCCGTGCTCTTGGACCTCTCCGACCAGCCCCTGGTCTCGGGTAGTGTGGTCGGGCTGTTCCGTCCCCGCATCACCCAGCCTCAGTCCCCGCCTCTGCTGCGGGTCACGACCTTTTCTCTCCTTACACCTGGCCTTGCCCCGCCCGCCCCCGCCCACTGTACCGGTCTTAAGCACCAGCAGGTGCAGCGCGTCGTCCTGCAGGTAGGAGGCGGCCGCGATCTCGTGCGTGGGGATACGCAGAATGAGCTCCTCGTTGTCGCGCCAGGTGAGAAGCAGGCAGCGGGCGGACAGGCTTAGGATGCTGTCCTGCTCCGCCGTGGTCTTCAGCGGCAGCTCTTTCAGCTGCTGCGGGCGTGTGGGGGTGTGTGGAGGGGATATCCTGAGCCTCTGGCGGGGGGAGTGGGTATGGGAGGGAGAAGGGCTGAGACCCTGCCCTCCTCCCTTCCCAGAGCCTCACCCTGGCTGTGTCCAGAAGCTGCAGAAGCTCGTCCCGACTGGAGGGGTTCAGTGAGGAAGTCACCCAGGTGAGGTGACCCAGGAACTGGACAGGAAATGGGGTAGAAGGGCACAGAGAGGTCACCCTAAAGTCTTGGAAGACCTTGGCCTCCTCACTGACGCAGTGCGGTTGCACTGAGGTAGAAATATCTGAATTAATAACCTGATGATAACGTTTACTAAACTCGTCATAGAAGCCAGGCACAGTTCTGAGTACTTCATAGTCCCTCATTCATTCTTGCTTCAAAGATGAGAGAACCAGAGCACAGTGTGGTTAATAAAAGCTTGCCTGGGATTAGACAGCCAGAAAGCACAACAGTGGACTCCACATGCCAGAGCCCAAACTCCAGCTGCTAGCTTATATGTCTTTATCACATGGTCATCTAGCTACGAGATTCCATAGGGAAGCAAAAGTCACCATCATAGCTTGAAAGAACTGACCACTTATGAATTTCCTCTGGCCCCAAGTGGTTCTCTCCACCCCAAGCTTTATTGTCAAACTGACTGCAAACCACTTGCCTTTTTTTTTTTTTTTTTTTTTTGAGTTGGAGTCTCACTCTGTCACCCAGACTGGAGTGCAGTGGCCGCTTCCGGGCCACCGCAGCCTCAA